ATGACTCCTCTTAGAGGAGTTGGCTCGAGAAGCAATGGTCGGTGGGAGGACTCGGATGTAGGTGGGGCGTACATTGTGAGTTGCAAAATCAAAAACGCTTTGGATTCAGTAACTGTATAGTGACTCCCACTCATCGCACCAAGGGATCTATGGAATTCCCATTCTCAGCAAGTCGATTCCAGCGGAGCTCCGACGGTGCCTCGAGGGATGGGAATCCATGATTACGGAATTGTATAAGCGGTAAAGCCTTGGGGTGAGATTAGACTAGCATAAATTCTAGACACTCAATTGGTATCAGTCCTAGTACATACAGCTGGACCGACTAAGGGCGCAGACCAGAGGTATGCGATAAGCCACGGAAGCATCATGTAGTCATCAAGAATGATCACAATCAGAAGACTGACGTTGTCAATGGTAGACGAATCCCACAGTAGCCTTTTGAGGAGTTGCTTAGTACGACGGAGTCTGAATAGACATAGCTATTACGACTTCCCACCCATATGTAACGGAAAGAGTTGTCGCTGATCTCCCATCTTGGTGGGGTAAGAGTCAGCGAAGCACGGTGGGAGGGGCCGTGACGGTAGCAGCAAGAACGTATGCCGCGTTGTAGCAGTAGACCACACAGAAGGGTTCCTCGACCGACTTCTTCCCGAATTTAGTCGAGAACTGTCTTATCCGAGTCTAGAGCCGCCAAGTAGTCTCCAATAATGGAGTTTCACCCACAAGAGGCGATTCGTCGAATTTCATCAGTTGAAAAACGTGAAAATCAGATGATATGTGAACTGATGGCAAATCACTACGCGAAATATTCAAAATAAAATACGGCATATCCCGAAAATAGCCTATACAATATCACAACTTACCGTGTAGTCTCCGCACGCTTCCTTCAATGCTCCCCCGCCGCTTATCAGTGTGTCCAGGCACCCCCACGGCAAGAGAGCTTATCCATGGGAAGCGCCGGGGTCTATTGCAGCGAATGATCCCGCTATTTAAACTTCGGAGTTTCCTCAGTCATTGTAGACAGAACGAGCCAATCATAATGAGCAAGCAGGAAATGGCCTTAACGATACACTAGAACAAGCAAATACATCTATCGCTTTTGCGCGGCACAGCCATCGTACATCCATGCGAGCCACATGAGGTTCCTAGAAGCTACTACTATCACTGAATACTGTACATCCCAATCGATGGCCCCTGACCCTCCTCATAACCGTTCCCACGCGGCCTTTACCCTCACTGGCACAGCATGCTCCTCGTGAAGCCCATCCCCACTGTTACAGCTGAGCATTCATATGGTGAGTGTACTCAATGTATTGCGAGCCTCGCATGTCGCTGCTTCAGTTTTAACTCTATCTGACTGGCAAGTGGTCACCGTGAATAGTCGGAGATGACCAAGACAGAGTTCTCAGGGAACCGCTCTAGTAGCGAGAGTACAGCGCACCTTCTCGGAATAGTTTTCTAGCACATACTGCGTCGAGGACTTCTTTTGAGGTTTGAGCAGTAGTTGTTGATACGAACTGCGAAGGGCGGCCTGTATCCCTCAGTACCATACCTGCGATAGCTTTCAGTACATTCGAAAGATATCGATCGACACAAGAAAGCTCACCCATCTCCAGCCGACAGATACGACCGAATGCACCAACATTAGGGTTACTGAGCCATTAGTAACACCAACATTTCAGGGTAAACATCGTCACTGGTGGTTGTTCTAGTCGAAATTGATCGGTATGAATTGGAGCCATCCCGGGTATACTCGTTGGTAACATGCAGATGTCAAGTACGTTGAATGGGCATGGGTCAGCCTATTACCCCCAACTATGAAATGTCTATCTTTGCTGAGGGCCTGTGTCCAACCATCTTAGTGTACTAACGTCAATTCGACAGTAAACCACAAGCATGTAGCAAAAGTAGTGGTAGCTAGTCTGAGAACATATCCAGTAGAACGCTCGTAAAGCCCACGAAGATATGGTTACTGACTCGGTCAGCAAGCACCCTCATACTCAACATAGTATCTCACTCTGGCTGACACAACCAGAGTTGTTGGAACGGGTTTCAGCTTATAATGTCTCGGGCGTAACAGTTGGTGACGTAGTCGACGTCCTCGTGGAAGCAGGCGGCCTGCTGCAGGCCTATGACTACATGGGCGCATTGGAGGTCGCGGGAGCGTATCGATTAACCATAGACGAGTCTCGGGCACGAGTCTATCAGATGATTCTGTTGAGTGTAGGTCGATAAACACGTGACCATCAAAATGGTCAGCATAGTACTCAGAGTTGCAGAGATGACCGCATGAGGCATAACAATATTTCAACAGTTCCTCAGAACGCAGCTGTTTGAGCGTTTTGACGCGGGCGAAAATGGTTCATAAGCGGAGTTTTTAGCGCACATTCTCATCGTTAACTAACTTGCGGTTTTATTCCGACCCACAGATGACAGAGGAGTATACCATTGCTGGCGACCTAACTGGTTTATCAGAGGCCGAGTTGGCGGCTGTACAGGAGCTGCTGGAGAGGACGGCTGAGGAGGCTGCAGATGACGAATCATCGCTATGTTGTTCTGATCATGGGCGCACTCCTCTTATCTATCAACCCTCATTGACTCGTCGAAGGCACACTCTACCTGATTGTAGCCAAGTAGCATTGCCTATGACAGGGACCAGGAGACCACCACCGAAGATTGCCGACAGGATTTTCGCAAATGCTATGATAAGTTTGAATGCCCAGCATAGGGCGCTTTGGCGGCAAGCTGACAGGGAACTTGAGAATACGCCTCCTGAAAAGGTTAAGACTGGATCACCGAATAGGAGGTTTTCGATGCCGAACGTCCCATTGAGGGGAGGAAGGCCCGACGCGGCAGTGATACCATTGATTCCCAGTGGTATCGTATCGTCTTTGGGATTGGATAGTTTGGACGACGACTCTGTGAATACTAAACAAGCAGTTACGTCAAGGAAATGTGGATTAGTGTCTACTTCGGAGAGTTCAACTCAGGGCTTCAAGTTCAGCTCATTAGACGACTCGCTTGGGCCCTCAATATGGAAACCAAATGTTGGTGATGGTGATGATGTGCAATGAGATTCTTTCTACTCCTTCCTTTTTTCTACTCCAGGATTTTCCGATTATACTATTGATCTTTTTCGGCATTCCAGTCATTGTACATAGCCTGCCGCTGGCATCAGTATTTTTTCGCTAGTGGCTTAGTCCATTAATAATAAATCATCCTGGTACAGCCTATGATCAAACTACATCAAGCACAGAGGACTTGGTTCCTTTTTCTACTATCGGCAATAGTTGAGTTGTTACTCAGTGATGCAAGATGTAGCGTACTAAACTCTCTAGAGCGCACAAGTAGAGTATGATAAACCATAGCTAGTATTTTACAATCCTTCGCTGGCTGCTTATATTACAATCTTTTCTCTAATGCTGATCTCAATTGGGACTGAGTGGAGCATGTTCCAGCGACATCCTCTGTCACAATGAAATTGAGTTCGTCATTACAGTAGTACTATTGCCGGCGAATACTCGTTTAAAGCGATGGGAGCCACCACTTAATAATGCAAGTCATGACTAAGGAGGTTTGCGTTGATGTGTCATCAATGATGACAATACGGCTTTCAACTTTTCATTCACGAAGAATCATTGCAATTCTGAGCTGATTGAATACCTGAACGATCATGAACGGCCCTAAGAGTAGAGTTCGCAGTGGTCCGACTTGAAGACGGATAAGAGGGACTTAAGTTGCGACGACAATCGATGTTCGGAAGTTATACGATGCGTGAATGGGGGCACGCGCTCGATCTGTCAGGAGTAGTGTTGTCTTCTGAATTTTCTACCTAGACGTTCTCTGCCGTTTAGTCACATGCAGTAAATTATCAGCAGCGCTTCGCTGGACAAGAACGACATGGAGAGAGGTTGCAGTACTGAGTGCTCAAGACGTGCGAAGGGTTGCACCGAAGGTGGACAGTGATTCCATTGACCATGTAGCCACATGCTATCGAGCCATAGTCGCCTATTCCTCTGTGCTTGCTGTGTTGCTGTTTGGCTGCTCCACAGTATGGCGAAGGGAACAGCACACACAGATGTGCATGGCGCCGACTAGCTATGCTATAGCAACAGCAGTATAAAATTAATATCGTTAACAATATTGACTTAAAATAGATCTGATAACCTTGAGGACAGTTTCTCGCGTATCTTTCATTTGTTAGTAAAATTTTCTCCGTTTGTGATATATCGAATGCGTTCCTTCATTCTTTCCCTATCGGCTTTGGTTGCAATCCTGTCACTTGTGTCCGCCACTGAAGACCCATGTGCTCAGATGTGTTCCTATGTAGAAGGCTGTGCTAAGTCGAAGTTCAATTCCTACTGCAAGACCTGGCAGTCTCCCCCTGTCTGCTTCGGTCTGATCAAGAAATCCGATGGTTCGATCTGCTTCGAGCCCACTGATGCTGATTGTGTTGGAGAGCCTATCGCCTGTGACGAGCAGCAACCCACTGGCGTCCCTGGCACATCAACGATGGAGAGTTCCACAGAAGTACCTGTGACTACCACTGCTGGCGTCGAGTCTTCTGTTGTCTTAACTTCACCAGCTGATGAGACTTCCCCTATTGCCGAGACCACTCTCTCTGAGTAATTCTAAACTCATTCGTGGGAGTTCGATTTGTTTCATTTCACTCAACTATTTCACTCCTGATCGGTTATTCGCTCCCTATTTTCACTCATAATGGTCTTGTGTTTTCAAGTCGAAGCTCTGCGTCTGCAACTGGTGACGGTTAGAAATTGATGGGAGTATGGATCATGTAAGCGGCTCCTTTCTTTGAGTAGAGTACATGATCAACTCGTAATCCACTGGTTCATCGTCGAGGTTGAACACCTCTATGGAATCGACCATCTTGGGTCGAGTTGTACATTGCACCGATGAGCTGTCAGAATTTTATTCAACGTGTATAATCTAGTAGTAGAGTAGACCATAATTAACTGTCCTGCTCGACGCTGATTCGAGTCTAGCTGTTGGGCAAAATTTTCGTTCTGATTGAATGTGCGAATAACGAGCTCACACCTGCAGCTGATAACTTTCACTTATACAATATCCAAAGCCGACGTTATTTCCATGCGTTGCACCCAGCACTCCTTTCAGTCCTAGCGACATTGACAAAGCGATCAACGGAACCTCCTAAATTTTAGGGTGCAGCCTCAAGAACAGAGAATTGGTAGGTCATGAGCTACATCCCTCTTATACCTTGATGCTGACCACATCAGTTCGCTCCGCTGAACTGAGCACTGCAAATGACTCATCCAGGGTGGGTTACTATTAGTGGCTGGCGTTCACCGCAGTTCCGTTGACAGTGTTGCCTTACCGCGACTAGTGCGCATGCGGAAGGGGATATCGTCTTCGAGCCTACTGAGTCAATCAACACGATCACTCTAGAGGAAAGATAATCATCAATGGCATTGATTCAATGCTCTGATGGTGAATGGCAGTTGATGACTCTACTGATAATGTAGCCACATGCTATCGAGCCATAGTCACTATAGTGTATTCTATTATGCTTGTCCTATAGTTAGCCTGTTCGGTTGCTCCATGACATCGCGAAGGGAACAGCACACACAGATGTGTACGGCGCCGAGTAGCTATGCTATAGCAACAGCTCATTCAAGCCGTAAGTACAACAATTATATTGTCAACAAATGTTGTATAGGTTTGAGGAAAGACTTCCAACATTCTTCACTAATGCAACATTCTTCATCTATTAGATTTCTTATCCTTGTTTGCGATATATTTAATGCGTTCCTTCATTCTCTCCATCTCTACCTTCGTTGCAGCTCTGTCTTTGGTGTTCGCCACTGAAGATGCATGTGCTCAGATGTGTTCCTATGTAGAAGGCTGTGCTAAGTCGAAGTACGATTCCTACTGCAAGACCTGGCAGTCTCCTTCTGTCTGCTTCGGTCTGATCAAGAAATCCGATGGTTCGATTTGCTTCGAGCCCACTGATGCTGATTGTGTTGGAGAGTCTATCGCCTGTGGTGAGCAGCCCACTGCCGTCCCTGGCACATCAACCATGGAGAGTACCACAGGAGTATCTGTCACTACCACTGCTAGCGTCGAGTCTTCTGTTGCCTCTACTTCACCAGCCGATGAGACTTCCCCCGCTCTCGAGACCCCTCAGTCTGAGTAATTCTAAACTAATGAGCGGGAAACTTTCACTTCTGCCCGAGCAAGGTTTGCTCCACATTTTCACATACACTATTCTTGTGTTGAGAGTCAACTTAGTCAATTGCAGACTACAACCTTTGATTGTTACTGAGCATGTGTGGAGATCAGTTACAGTGCACGAACTAGTGTCATGTTACCTTGAGTAAGTGTATCATCGAACCAACAACCGTCGTTGTCGGTCAGCTCAGGGCAATTCTTAAAGGCTACAAGTCTACCACTCAATTGGATCTCGAGTTGCGACGACAGGGGAGGAATACAGACCATGTAGAATACTATTCCGCTTCGGATAAGGCGAATGCTGTTGGCCGGGGCGGCTATGCCATAACTCAAAGATATGCCTCAGTGTTACTCCACCACTCAATTGGATATCGACCTCTGACAACAGGGGAGGAATATGCACCGTGTAAAATGTTATTTCGAGTTCAGTAAGATCAATTCTGCTCGACGGGGCGGCTATGCCATAACCCAAAGATATGTCTCAGTGTTACTTCGCTACTCAATTGGAGATCGACCTCTGACAATAGGAGAGGAAAATACACCGTGTGAAAGGTTATTTCGATTTCAGTAAGATCAATTCTGCTCGACGGGGCGGCTATGCCATAACCCAAAGATATGCCTTACTGGTACTTCACTACTCAATTGGAGATCGACCTGTGACAATAGGGGAGGAACATACACCGTGTAAGAGGTCATTTCGAGTTCAGTAAGATCAATTCTGCTCGACGGGGCGGCTATGCCATAACCCAAAGATATGCCTTACTGGTACTTCACTACTCAATTGGAGATCGACCTCTGACAATAGGAGAGGAAAATACACCGTGTGAAAGGTTATTTCGATTTCAGTAAGATCAATTCTGCTCGACGGGGCGGCTATGCCATAACCCAAAGATATGCCTTACTGGTACTTCACTACTCAATTGGAGATCGACCTGTGACAATAGGGGAGGAACATACACCGTGTAGGAGGTTATTTCGATTTCAGTAAGACCAATTCCGTTCGACGGGGCGGCTATGCCATAACTCAAAGATATGATCTCTGGCGTGTATCCAGTGGGAACTCGAAACTGGGAATGGGCACCAACCGAATTTGAGCGGAATTGATCTATACAGAAGTCAAGAGCGACACAGGCTCTTGACTCAAGAGCCCTATCTCTCAAGAGTCTTGAGACATAGAGTAATCAAGGTGAATTATCCGATTGTAGCCACTGTTTCTTGAGACTTACCTCAGTTTATCCAGGTTTTCTGGAGAACCTTCGCCTCTTCCGAGTGTAAAGACCAGCAAGAAATTGTTTAAACGTTATCATCACTCGGCCTCTAGGAACTCCATATCATTGCTCCCATTGATGGCCTCCGGAACCAAAATCTTTTCGCCGCTTACAGATGCTTCCGTTACCAAATGCTCAGTTTGTCCCACATGATGTCGATACAGATGATCGCGCTGTTAAGGGTTTCCCGCGAGGAATCGCCGTGACCTCACGAGTTGACCTCTTAGGTGGCCTCTCGCAGCCACTGCTCGAGTTCGCGCCTCGCAGCTCCTTCTGTTGTCTTCAGTGATGGCATGGCCTCACATGTATCGCTCATCAGTCACAACGATCTACGCCGGAGCACGCCTAGACAACAGAAAAACTCGTTTTGCGCTAGCAGGCGAGAACCTTTGCTTAGGTTCTTCCTTGCAGAGAGGTCCATATGGCATGCTCGCTACTTAGTTACTCCTCCGATGGTTCTGTAGATAACACTCAGCCACTCGGGCATAGTATGACTGTCACCAGCGACCCAAACTCCACACTCTTTAATAATTAAATACTCGTCAAAGAATGGTACAAATGAAGGAATGGTTACACCCACGTTGGACTGAGGCTAGGGGTCGGACTCGGACTCGGACTCGGAGTGCTCATTGGTGACTCTCGCTTCCGTCTCTCGTGCTGCCTCTGAACCGTCTGATTTCTCTTCATCCGCTCTCGGTTCTTGAGGAAGCGCACATAGTCCTTTGCTTGGTGACCAGTGGCCTCGGTAAACACCAGTATTTCGAGATTCTCCTTCACCTTGTTGAAAAGATACTCTCGATGCTCGGCCGGCATCGAGTACATGCACTGGAAGAGATCTTGATCATCCATCAACTTGCGGAAGTTGCCATTGAGACCGGGCATTCGAGGCGGCGGTGCCGACTTTGCGGCGCGCGGTACTGGCACCGACTGCGTGTTCACATTATCAGCACCGTATGGATATGGCCAGACAACCTGAACGGGTAAATGAAATGAGCATCATGGGTCTTACCGTGTCCACCTACCCCTGATAGGGACACAAACCTTGCGCCCCTTCCCACCCTGGTAGTGAGAACATCACCAGCAGTAGTAACAGCTACACAGACTGATGACAAGACTGGCTGTAGTATGAGTCTTCGGGGTGGGGGCACTTCAGGAGGCAGCACCCCAATAAGGGTACTCGTATTACTCTCCTCACTACTATGGACTGTCGCTCCATCGGCCTGAATAGAAGCTCTACCTACTACAACGAGGATCGGTGCTCAGACCCACTTTAGCTTTGCCACTCAGCACGACCATCTTACTCCTCCTCAAAACAACCGCAGTGAGTTTCTGACGATTATTCCCCAGCAGTGGATACTCATCGGCGTCACAGTCAGCAGCAATGAATCTCACACCGTCGAGCGAGACTCTACCACCATTGCCATGAACAACTCTGACGGAGCCATCCGGTTGAATTCTGGCGCAGACACCTGCCGCGTGAATGAGCATGTTCACCGTCTCTCTCGGTCTCATTCCGGGGTCTGGGATGGTGCCAACAATGGTCGGCTCGGGAGGAGCCTCGACTGTCCCAGAGAGGACCACCAGACCGTCGATAGTCTTGAAGGCATGGACCGCAGGCGAGCACTGGACCGGCTGCGACAAGGGAGCTTCACGTTGGTGTTTCGATACAGCACAGACCGTCTTCTGCTGCTCTCCACTAAAACAAAGAGCCAACATTTTCACAGGTCATAGGCATCATGTATAATTCGGGTTCATAGTCTCAACGAGGAACACCGTGGTGCGTAGGCACTTTCATTCCCAATAAAGTACGCGACTCGACAAGAAGATTTCTCAACATGACAACAACATAAGCTGTGAATGGTATACTGCGGGCGTGCCACATGTATGATATATAGATACAAGAATACTATAGCAGACCCCCCTAGGCAAGAAAAAGGGGAACGCAGAAGAGATATTTTCGTTGTTAGCTAAATAACATTCAGTAGCAAGATGCTACCACAATTAGCAGCAACAGGAAGCCCGGAAAGTAACAAAACATGAGTTAACTCACCTGGGATAACATATAGGAACGCACGCTGTCCCCGATACGCCCGAAGCCTTATCCGTGCCTTCAAAGTCGAAAGTGCCATTCTCGTATATCCGCAAATTATCGTTAAGATTGGAGCCCCTCTGTGGATGGCGAGCAAAAGAGGGCACCACTAGACTAGCGTAAGGGGCACAGTCACCATCTACCTGACAATCAGTGATGGTTGCAACGACGAGTCTACCACACAATGAGAGACGCGATACCATCCAAGAGCTCACAGAGATCCGTTCGAACAAGTAGTATAAGCCGTATATACTATAAATGTTACCTTCCCTGGAGTTGCGACTGCTGGGGGCCTCAATATAGGAGGTAGTTGGAAGATCTGTCCCTCAGCCTTCTGTTTGGATACCCCATGGAGGATTGAACATACTAGATAAGAGGGTGATGGAGGGGACGTCCGACTGCTGCTCTTCACGCCATTGCTGCTGTCGCTGCTGTTGTTGTTGTTGTTGTTGTTGTTGTTGTCGTTGTTGTTGTTGTTGTTGTTGTTGTTGTTGTCGAGTATCATGGATCAAGTCTAACACTACATGGATCATACTTCCCACTGTTAACTATTGAAATATAGGATGAGTAGTGGACAGATAATCACGATCATATATGGACAGCGAGTAGCCCTTGATCCCATCCCAATACACGGGCATATCGCCGTCCACCACGATAAAAAAACCTAGAGGGATCCCCATCTATCCCCTTACTCCTCGTTGCCACGATGAAATATAGACTCCCAAGAAGAGGGGTCTTCAATACTCCTCAAAGGACGCAGCTACCAGACAACTCACGGCATTCCTCTCTACCAATGAGACAGAGTCATCCCCTAATAGACCGGTCGTTACTCCTCCCTATGAATACTCTAAGCTCAACAACACTGTGGGGTGGACGGCGTAAGTTCTTTAAAAGCTATTACCTAGCGTACAAGTACTCGAGTAATGCAGCATCATCAGCATCATGACCAGTCCGTCCTCCGACCTTTCGCATCGGAACACAGCTCTAGAACGGTCTTACACATACGCGCACTTATTCACTCAACACAGCTCAAGGTGATTCGAGGACTCGGCCAGCTAATCTTCCCATATAGCGTTTCCGGGATTTGAGAGCACTCAGAGTCCAATTCGAACCTCCAAATGATTTATATAGCATTCGGAAGGGCTCACTGAGGTTGCCGATGCTCCGGTTGTATTTTTACTACAATTCTCACCTTCCACGGAAATCCAATACGAAGACCCTTTCTGCATCACCCCGTACACCTGGTCTACCCATAATATCGAAAGGATAGACTAGGCACATCATGCAACACCAGTACGTTCCAGAAATGAAGACGAAATCCAAGGAGCTTCGAGGACCGGGTTGCCTTGTATAACAGCCTTCCCTTGGATAACAGTTCGGGTTCTGGTCTGCCTGTCGGGTTTCGGGTTCACATCCACGAAATCGATTTACACATTCTCCTAGGCTTATATACTCCTCTCTCACCACCCATGTACGCCACCGCCGCCATCGCCCATCAGCCTTCCCATCCTTGATCGAACTGAGACGCTGCCGTATTATCATCGACCTAAGGAACGGAATGTGCGGTATACACCAGGAAAGGAATTATGAAATGCCAACTACGGCTACAATGAGGAAATGTAAGATCGCGCACGAGAGACCAAGATTCCGCCTACCCTACCCGAACGAACTCACAAACTTACGATAGTAAATGCCGACTAAGGAGGTGAACCCAGTCCATGAGATGGCTCAGTAGGAATAACACTAAAAGGCTTCCCACATGAGAATAAATGCTCAGGTGGAAACAGCGTGTAGAGGGAGAGATGAAGTCAGTTCAAGAATGGCAGGACAATTGGTCGTTCCTAGTGTAAGCCCTAGTAACAAGTGATAAAGGACATAGTTCTTTTTCAGAAAAAGGAATGATAATCAGACCAGCAGAGTAGAGGCCTCCACAGACAGTAACGGTGAGAGATCGTTGAACCCAATAAGGAGCATTGGAGAAGCTACTGATACTGATCTTGCACGATGCCGAGTAAGTCTAATTAGCTACTACATACCGCACCACTCCCAACGTTCAGCACATGCAGCGACTACCCCCAAAAGCCAAGTATTTACGCCCTATCACGACCCAACAAGAACTGGGCTGGCGACCACCGATCGAGCTCTTTGGAACAGATCTTGGCCACAACATACAGAGGAATACTGAACTGTGGGCAGACTGATATCATCATGCTACATTGATGTGATTGATTCCAATAACAGAGATTAGTCTTGCGCTGATCGAAAAAAAAACATCCCCTTGCAAGTGATATAGGAATGATACCGATAGAGCATGAGTATACTCCCAAGCTTGAGCCTCACTACTAAAGTGATACTTCCAACACAACACAGCAAGAGTAGGTGAACACAGAAATGTCATTTCTTCCCCTTCCGAGCTCCAGGTTGTTCCTTATGCCCAGTCCAAACGTCTCGTAGCTGATGGCTCCAGGATCGTCCCTTACGTCCATTTGTAGCTTTAGTCTGATAAGAGACCGAGCTCAACACACAGTATTCAACCGCGGTACTACCTGCTCGGACCCCCCGGGTGGCGGCACGTCAGTGACGGGCTTGGTAGGGCCCACTGGATTAGCATGAGGTAGCTTGGGTACGACTTTCTTCAGTGCATCGTTATCTAAAGGCTCGACACTTCTAGATGGTGTATCAAATACAAAGTTGATGAGATCTAATGAGAACGCGGTACGACAGAGCGTTGAATCATCAAGTCCCGCTTTCACTATCACTAGTAGTTGCGAATATTATAAGTGGTTCTCGCTAGTGCGTCCACTCAGTCGTCCCCGACTGTGTACACCTGGCATCCTCCTGTTCCGTCCTGGCCTGCTTTCTATTAGCTTCTATGTCTTGATTGGACTCCCCTTGATGGGGCCCCAGCAGAGGTGATACGAGAGAATCATAACTCGAGGATTGGTCGCCGTAGTCCGACTAAGTTAATGGAGGCATTATACCCAAATCCACACATATTCAGCTCACCCTTTGGCCATCCCCTCCAGCCCGATTCGAAGGTCGTGTAGCTGGCCAGAATACTATAACAATGAGCAGCGATGGTATCCACTCCGTGATACAGTATACCTAATCATAGTAGTGATGATGGGGATATCGATAGAGCCTCACCAGGGAGTCCCATGCTAATCGATCGACACTTGCTGGACCGTATGTTCTCATGAATCCAACCCCATACAGGAGGCTGAGCACACCTCGCACTAGGAATATGATCGGACACGTTACTGTGAGAACAAGGACCTGAGAAAAGCTGTGTGATACACCCATGTTGCGGTATGTAATCACCCGATTGAGAACCGCTCGGTTCTTGCTTGCCTCGGTCGTGGAGACCCCAACAACTGAGCGCTGCCTTCGCGATCGATCTTTCAACTGACTTGATACTTGTATCTGGGAGGAGCCGTGGTGCCAATGCATGATATGAGATCGCGGCGCCTACCCCGTAGTAGAAGAAGAATATAGCACAGGTGAGGTAAAGTAGTCCCACTACGAAGAATATGTATCTACCAGGGAAGGGATGTAGTCACGAGCTGCGAGATCTATTGAGCTTACTGACTATATTGATGCCAAGCCTTGAGGAGGAAGGTCACTCCCGATATAATCAGAAATATTCCGTACCTGTGGAGCAATAGAGGGGTCATAGATGGGTTGGGAATAGTACACTGCGATATTGAAGAAAAGGCATACTGGTCGTAGTAGAGGATACGACACTAGGATGGCCGCATAGTACACCTGTAGAGACATTAATAGGGGAGGGAGGTTCATTAGTACTACTTGAGCCCAGAATAGTATAACGATGCTATAGGTGGATAGGAATAGCAAGGATGGGAAGACCATGAGGAAGTAGTTGGTCCAACCCTGATGATAGTAAGAGCGATTGGTGATTAGAATGATGTTCATCACTACTGACCTGGACAGAATGCTCCCATACGTGCTCCCTAACCTCAGTGTGGACGACAGCATCAATGATCATACTCACTGCTCTGGCTAGGTTGGACAGGCATAAGCCAATAAGGAAGAGCTTACGAGTACGGCTACCAGTGAGCGACACTGCCGGGGCCTGGGGTGGAGTATATAACGCCATACCGCTTGGTAGTCCTATTATTACAGCATCTCCACCACGCCTCTCCTCACGTTTCTGTTGAATCAACTGCCTTGCTGTTACGATAACTATGACCATGAACAGGGCACAGTCTCCATAGGCAAGCCAGGAAGCCTTAGCAGAATGTGGTGTGAACAAAGGGAGGTCCTTATAGCTCGACGAGACATCCCCTGGCTGTACGGTGGGTGGGGCATCCATTTGCGAAGCTAATCGGAACACATTCAATCAACGAACTCTATTGACTAGTCTGATACATTGAGGGCGACAGTTTTGCACGAGTTTTATCATCTGTAGGCTCCAGGTTCGATCCCCAGTGCGGGCATTTTTAGTGTCTGTCCCATCACGCGCTCATGTCGTCCCGTTATTTCAGATAGTGGAGGTCCCGTAAGCTCTAGTAATGTGTTTATAAGTACCACGGAATAGCAGCCTGTTAGTTGATTCTCCCGTACCTCACAGGCTTGTCACCGTCTGGTCGCGTTACCTGCTATGGATACCTGTACACTGCACAACGTCGGTGGTGCTATAGTAATGATGATTCTATTTGAGTTAATGCTGATCATTGTTGAGTTGAGTGAGAGAGGAGTCACTAGATGGTTCAGATGTTGGCAACGCGGCTTTTTCGGAACTCGCCCCGGCTGGGCAACATGGTCCCCGAATTGCATTGTTTGAGCCGGGTTCAAACCCAGCGGAGGGCATCTTTGCGGGCGTTGGCTGAGAGCAGTCGGGAGCCAATGACCATGAGAGGCCTCAACCGGATAACTGTAATCGTCTGAGTGATTTATTCCGAGTTATTTCGCTTGCTTCTAGCCGACTGTTGCGCCCAATCTGCACGTCCTGGCACCGACGTTTATGCCCCGCGTGGAGATCTCCGAGTATGAGAATTATGATGCACATACGCGAGTGGCCCGGGAGGATGTTATACTGAGGGAGGGTATCGTGTCGGTGCTTCTGGAGGCGAAGAATGGCTGCCCAGACAGCGCGACTTTTTGGTTCAGTGAGCACCAAGACACTCTCATTGAAATATTCGACTTGTGCTTTTTCCTCAGCGTTGTATTGCTGTTTCACTGGAATATTAGCGTTTGGATGTCTCATCACGAAGGCTCCAATAGTCTTTGAAAGGACCATGCCGTACCAAATCAAGTTCAATGCATTGGCTTTGGTCTTCTGGACTAGTTCTGACCTTGGTACCACACCATTTTGAGGTTGTGTCTGATTTATACATAATCACCTGTAGGAGTTCTCGAAGCTCGGCTCGGACCTCAGAGTCGTTTGATCACTACGGGTCGGATTCTGAGCACCTTTGGCTCAGTGATTTATGCCACGGCATGTTGCGCGGTGAGGGAAAACCTCGTATCACTTTTATAGAGTTCACGAATCAGGTCGCTGAATTCAAGCCTTTCTTGGCGTACAAGATGGTTATATTGGGCGAAGTATTTATGTCGGCAACTACTGTGCTAAGGTCTGCCACTGGAGCTGTTAGGTATGCGACTGTGTTCTAATGCTCAGGTGCATCAGAGGTAGACAGATCCCATTATGGTCGGCAGTGCTGCGTACGAGCTTCCTGTTGTACGGGGCCATCACCAATACATTGTGTCACATGAAGGGTAGATGGCTCGAGAGGCATGCTGAGGACCTTATTGTCGGCTATGTCCCTGAGTATGCATAAGAGTGTATTACCCAGTTTCTGATGATGCTTCTCGTGGTTGATTTGTAACAGTAGAACGTTAAATAACAGACGGAACACAAACACGACCAGGATCAACCCATTTGAATTCCATCCCTGAAGCCCAGCAAGCCTACTCTATGTTTGTCCTAACGAAGATGCACTCTGGTTTGGCTTTTCTAATTCGTGAACTATTAATTTGACTTCGATACCAATTGATGCGAGAATAGCGATGGCCTGCGGGAGCGCGCAGCTCTCTCTAGCATGATGTTGCTCCGGCATTTCATGCACTGATGCATTAGTGTCAATGGTTGTCAAAGTGTCAACGGTGTTCACGTCACCGTTGTGCTAATCGCAGAGAGTTGGTGTCCAATGATTCCAGGTTTCTGGATGACAGACTCTGGAAGACCCGTTATTCACTTCCCTCTGAGGGGTCCGCCTAGTAGGAGTCGCTCCTTCCCACCTGATCTATTCGCGACACGAGCTCTTCTCCCAAGGTCGCGGACGGTATCCAGGGATTTTGCTGGGAGCGGACACTCCACCCTTGTGCGGAAGCCTCAGCGCGATTCACGTGTGAACTCGACATGAGGAGGAAAAGGAGCTATCGCAGCCGAACGAGGCGAGGGCAGCGGGCAAATTGGATCGTGTGGTGGCACTGATTCCACAATCCTACGCTGCTGTCTGAACTCGCCTGCACATGGCTACTTGGATCATTCCTCATGCCCGAACAGGGTTGAGCGGGCAATGCTCATGTTCAGCCTTGCCATCACTTGATCTGGTTCTGCCAGTACTGCATCGAGTCTAAGTTCATACGATCCAAACTTTTGAAGATGGTCGTGTCTCAACCGAGAATGTTTTCAGAACTACTATCAAGTTCAGAGTGCTGCACTTCCAGCGCCGCGCGTCCTTGTAGGAGACTACACGTCACGTCACCACGTTCATGCGATTAAGTGCCCTCGCTGTCACTGACAGTCATAGGCTGCGGTTGGTTCACCGATGGCGAGTCGCCAGTTGCGATACGCCTCCACAATAGACAGGCCACCTGCACTGCAGATCCTGCAGGCACTGCACGCGCGTGCAGGAGCATGCGCGGGCCAGAGATTCGATGGGACGAGTTACAACGATCCTTTACGCACAGTTATTTTCTCACCTCAATTGAATCATCAGGAGACCTCATGTTCATGGAATCCTTCTTATTGGTCCTTCTCTATGTTGTGGGCTTCGGTAAGGGCGCCTCCGATCACACTTTGGTTATGGTCTCCCATCGTGGAGGCTCACTTGACATTCGTCATGTACCGAGTATGATGGTACAGGCCGCCGCTGCCGCCGGTGAGAGGACACGCTTCCTCAGCCAAGACGACCTTGAGCTTGAACAGTGCCTCGCACAGACTGGCATGGTCCATGACTTGTCTTCTCTGGGAGTGCAGATAGTGGACTCCAAATGTGCGCTGAGCCACAAACAGATAATGGACTATTTTGAGAAGGCTGAAGACAGCCTTGACATCGAGGTTTTTTGCGAGGCCGATTTTGACTTCTCGATTGCGCCAGTTTTTGAAGAGGCTTCGTTATGCAATCACGAGTATCCACTTGTACTGGCGGCAATCGTGTTCTTGGCACCAACGATCCCG